AACCAACTATTGTGTATGAATCAAAATGAAACTTTGAGAACTCAGAAATCTACCAAACTTTGGCACACATGGACAAAATTAGAGTGCAAAAATAGAATTGCATGAAACTCAAAATACAAACCCTAAAAGATTTACCTAGCTCAATTTTATGTATATTTTTGTGATGTGGGTAGTATTTAAATTTTGATCAATCACTCTTTACACATTAAAAAAATAAGTAGCTATGCAATTGTCAAAAAACATAAGATTGATAAACATGAAGTGTATATGAATTTCTTAAAATTTGCATAAGTTTTAAGCAAAATTATACGTATTAAATTGATATACTTCAATAATAAATGATTTCAAGATTATACACTATTGAAGATGAAATGCCTCAGCAAAAATAGATTGAAATGCAATAACTAAACCACTATTAAGTACAATACATGTATATTTCAATCAATTGGTAACATGGTTGAAACAACTGGATAGACCAAGAACGATGATTTTATAAGTAATTTAAGATACTTTTTAAAAGAAAAATTCGAGTAATATTTAGAATTTATGAAGATCTATTGAAAAATATATTTAGTTAACATTTTTTAGTAATTATTACATCAAATCATGAAATTTCATTTGTTGTAAAGATAGTGATTTTTTCTGAAAATATATAAAAAAAAAAAGGTTTAATTTTACTCTATCTGTCTAATTTTAGTAGTGTCATTGCATTTAGTTGTTCAAAATAATACAAGAATCATAAGTATTGTTATTTAGAATTTTACTTTAGGTCCAGATTGAAAATCAAGTAATTTTATGAGATCATGAGTAGGTAGTTCAAAGTATTGTAAATGCCACAATGCATATGAGTTATTGTTATATAACTACTCTTGTTTATATAAAAACCTTAATGTAATATCACTAACTCGGTCTTCTCAAATATTGAGGGACATAAAATGATTATTTCGAAAAATGTTAAACCATTGCATAAAAACTAACTAACTATTAAAACAGACTCAGAGAATTGTCTTGTAAAACACCAAAAATATCTTACTTCTGCATCAAAATGTAAACAGAATTTCATTCCATCAGAAAATATCAATTATAGAGATTTTAAAATAAAAACTTAAATTATCTTGGTGATGTTCTTATTTTATATTATTTCTAAGGCTTCAACTACTTTTCTGAAGCTTGTAATGACTCAGCACAAACATATTTTTCTATCTATTAACGTAAGGATGACTTTTACATACAAATGGAAATGTAAATAAATAAATGAATAAAATTTGACAATCCTGTTGCAATTGTTACATGAAACAACACACTACGTTTTTAAGCACTTTTTTAAAATTTTGGAATATTCTTTGTATAAAAACAGATAAATCTCACGGTTAATATCATGCTGTTCAATCATTTAGAAATATAATTTCTGAATTTAATTCCTAACCACACACATTTAAGTCCATTCAAAGAGTTAAAACTTGCAATAGTCTGTGTCTTTACGTTGGATGCAATTAAGTGTAAATGCTTTTTGAAAGATCAATTGAGGTGTTGAAGTTTATGATAGTGAGCAACAACAAAACCTGATTTAAAACATACATATTTTATACCTTAAACTTCAAAATACTAATAAAATTTTACTTAGACACTACATCATTACTTTGGTGGAATGTAAGCTTTGTTTTTAGGTTATTCTTTGACAGACACCACAATTTTTTTAAGAGAGTAAAAATAAACAATATATCTACATGTACCTAAAAATGCTGACGTTGATTAAAATAGTATATAAATATATTATTGTAAAAAGGATTCAACATTTGATAGAAGGAAGCTTTGCCCAACTTAGTGGGATTGGAACTTGAGTGCACACGTGGTCAAAATAGTATTACTTATAATACAAACAAGAAGAACATGAATATTACATGAATAACAAGAATAATACAAGAATAATACAAGAATAACATGTGGTGATACTAATTGATTCTTTTTCTTACAACAAAATAAATGAAATTTTACCAATGATAAGGTTCTCTTTGTTCATGGCAGAAAGTTAAAACCAAAAACATAAGAGCCAAAGGTAGTATTAGCATATGATTATAAGAATAATCATAATAATCTAAAACAAAGAATCCAATTTACAAAATTAAATATTGATTAAATATTCTGAAGTACCTTAGAAGAGATGTTACAATTTTTAAGTAGTTTCTTAAATGTGTAAAGTTTCAAAACGAGCACGTATCTTAATTTTATGTATTTAAATTGTGTCCAAAGTTAAAAAGAACTTAGATATTGTGATTTCAACAAACCAAAAAAAGACTACACGATGAGGGTAGTAACAACTGTAATTGACTAGTTTTTTAAACCATGAAATCTGATCATTTCTAAATTAATTATATTGAATTGTGTAACATGGATGTATTCATTTTGTTTTATTTTGAATTAAACTACAAGGATGAATAGAGTAATAATTTATAGTACTTAATTTGAACATGCTTAATCATTGTTGTAATAAATGAATTGTATGAGTAACTTCTTTGACAATGCAAACTAAAATGAACAATGTTTGTTATAGAAGTGAAACATGGTGCTTGTTGTAAAATATGAATGTGTGATAGTATTTCCATGTCATGATTTGAATCAAACATATTAAAAAGAGTTGCAAGTTGTTTTACAATATTGGATTACACAACAAACTTGTAAAATTTTATTCAAGTTTATGAACATGTTCTGTGCACAATGACTTAATAATGTTGGATATACACATGCAATGCCAATGGAATTGTGATAAAATTTTACAAGATACAATTTGAACTCAATGGAATGGCAAAGGAAAAACATCATGATTAATACATTATTGAACATTCAATGTACAATACATATTTCATATCACCTCTTTCATGAGTATATTTGTCAGTGCAATGATAGTTTTCTTATTAGTTATCTTTCTATAATGGCATATGAGTTGTAATCAATGTATTAAACTCACTTTTTTCTTCTAGAAGTAAATGCATTCAATTGAATCAAAGTGAGCATTGCAATTGCATCCTCCATTGTTTTGTACCTTCTTGCAATTGTGTACAACTCTATTGATTATATTTAGAGTTATAAGTACACATGAACTTCCATTGTTTTTATTAGTATTGATTTTAGTATGTGTAAATCAAATCCTTGTAAAAACTTGATACTTTCTTAATAAATTGTACAAAATCTCAAATAATAATATGCTGTACCACATATCATTTACAACACTTGAATCATTAGATTCAATACTGGGAATGAATTGCAGTGAATGCTTGATTGTCATATTTATATTAATCAGGAAAAATGTTGGGAATTGTTTTGATTAAAAATAGGTTTGTCACATAAAGCCTTATACTCACAGCATATCCCAACATATTGGCAAAATTGTAATGTGTTTTGAAGAAATTCGATCTGTTAATTTCCCAATTATGTTGTTTTTGATGAAACTAGACATGTTTGACATTTTGGCTTGATTGGCCAAATATAAATTTCTTGTGTAGTTGATTTTATGGGGATTTACAACTAGGAGAACAAAATCAACATAATTACAAATATTAGGGGAACAATTTTTCATAGGTAAGGCAGCAATTGATAAAAAATGTTCTTATTATAGCAAGGTTATGGTCTTTACAGAAAACCTTTTCTTCATAGTAATTCATTTGCAAAAAATGAAATCGCTCATCAATTTTGGAAGGTTATGTACAATGGTAACTATTTCAAGTTTGAAATTGGCAGCTCTTCAAAATGTTTCTTTTGCAAGGGTGATGTTTCAAAGATAGTTGTGGAGCAATCAGCTGTTGATGTGAAAAAAGTAGTGTTACATTGTTCACTGGGAAATCTTTTTGCTGGGCTTCTGTACATACTCTCAACAATTAAAGCAAGCAAGCAATAAAAAAAGGTTCCCCTATTTGTAATTATTTTGATTTTGTTCCCCCATTTGTAAATACTTTCAGATTTGTACCCCTGTTTGTAAATTCCCCTCGATTTTAATCTATATTATTCTAATAAATCACCAATTAATGATTCCGCATTTATAATCCATAATGATTCTATATTTGATTATTTATTATAAGTTATACAAATCTTTGAGTTGAGACATACAAAACATTTTGGTGATTACATGGTTACAAATTTAATGTTACACCACACTCTGAACCTTATCCGTCATATTTCGACATACAAAAGTACTACCTCACTGATTTATATTCCTTTCCTAATTCTTACATTCCTCTTGTAGAGTGTAAACCTTGATTTTTTCAAGACAAAACTCTTGGGTCTCATCAACCAATACTTGATTGGAATTCTTCAGTTGGCAGTCCCAGAAAGCAAGGTGCATGTTGACAACGAAGAATATAGTTGGCACGGAGACCTATGCAAGCAGACAACTATGCTGAGAAGAGCTAAGCAGAAGGCTGCAAAGGAGCATTGTGCCGATGGTGATGAACAAGTGGCTACACTCAAATAATGCCTGGGAAATTTGCCAACTAGGCACAATCCTTAGAAGCAATTGATAGCAACTACAGTCGCGTTGTGGGTCACCAGATGGGGGTGTCAAAACAGCAGATTTGGTTGTGAGAGTCTCTTTCTTTGCTTGAAAATAATATTTTAACGGACAGACCTTACAGACGAATTTGCACATTACTACCGAGCACCGGCTTTTCGCTACCTTCTGACATGTTCTTTAATGTGTCAGATTCACACAAGGACTTTATTATTCAACCGCACACAAACTTCTTGAGCTTTTCTAGTGGAGAGGTATTCCCTTTCACTCAGTCGCTTAGCGGTACATGAAAGGATGCCCCGCTTGACCACCTACGGTAGGAAGTGAGAAAATAATTGGGTTCTGCCGGAACATTTCTATATGTTCATGATTCAACCCCACTGGATCAATCTCATTTCCACACATGAAATGGCTCACAAACTCAATGATCCTGACCACTGTGGAAGCCTCCTGCAAATAGAAAGGGTTCGAGATAACTTACATCCACATGCTCCAAGACTCCCCTAGAAACTGAAAGTAACATTCCTTATGCGTTGTATGTAAGTGACATTATGAAAAGCCTCTGAAATGCAATCACCGCTCACGATGCAGTGGAAAAAGTAGGACCTATCTGCATCCTTGCCATTTCCAGGATCTATTTCAACAGTTTAATCTACCTAATACAGAAGCTTCTCAAAGACGGGATCAACATTTTCACCCCACTTCCCATGATAGAGCTCCAAGATATGTTCTGCAGGAGTTTTTCCTGTGTGCAACTCAAGAGGACTCAACATAAGAATATAAGGTCATAAAAATCCAGAATGGTTACATGCTTATTCATCTATACAAAGTTTATTGCAGGACAGAAAGGCATGAACGCATTGAATTCACCTGTTCTCACAGTCTCCTCGATATCTTTTAAGAAACCAGTCTCGTTAAGACCTCTCCGAGTCAACCCATCCTGCATCCCAGTCAAAACCAAGGACATTGAATCTGCATATCTATTATAAAATAAAACATGTGATTCACATGGTCTAGAAATATCTCTTCGCCATTAAACTGACTTTCCAGACGTTTGACGAGTAAGCCTGGAAAAGTAAGAAATTTCTATAATCGTTCAAAATTTTCTGGTGTAAGAGACTAACACCACCTCGACAGCACAATCCACTACCTTGGCAAGTTTGAAGACATCCTGCGCCACATGTTTCAGAAGTCCATCCCTGAAGGGAACATTCAAACCCAGCTTCGGAACCTGATGAACAACTTCGTCAGACGGCAGTCATCAATTCATTAATTTTACACTAGAATGTTTGCACACAAACATTGCTCCTCTTGAGCCAGAGACACTTACCTGCATGTAGATAGAAACAAATAAAGCAACTGGCAGAATTTTCAGTTTACTGAACAGAGTATCTTATGTCATAGATTTTTCGGATAAATAGAAGTAAAAGAAAGTAATAATTGAAAGTACAAAAACCTTAGAGCGAAGCATCGCACGCTCCCTTTCGGTCCAGTCATTAATGATGTCCAAGGCACCTTGAAGTGATTCCTCGTCATACAACAAGCCAGTCTACAATCGACAAACACAGAAAATCTTACATGGGTAACAAAATCAAGTTTGCCATCAATTTTCACGCACGAACTACTCATTGTGAGTGAAGTGTATTCAGTAGTGAAGTACTTAAGTTCGAGTTGCCAGGTCTATTTCCCATATTCGTTTTCATGGAATGTAAGTGAATAACGTACCCAGAATGCAGGCAAAGCACACAATCGGCGCCATGGACCACCATCAGCTCCCCTCATCTCTAAGTACCGTTTCAATCTCACCTGCAGCAAAGAGAAGTCATATCAATCCGTACCTATGTAACATTAACCTACAGCAGGATCACCACAAGTCCAAAAACCATATAGAAGCCAAGTTACGAAGTTCAACAAGCAATTTTCGCGAAAAAACTTGTCATTCATCTTCAATTAAAAGATTTCCGTGCGAATCAGATACCACTCGCACTGACCACCTAAATAATGTACGGAAATAAAAGTATAGAATAATCTCCACCTCGGGAAAGATTGTTGTTAAATGATTTTCCCAATCGTTCATTGTTGGCTTCTCTCCAGGCAGAGCAGATAGCTTCCCTTCCAGAAAATCCTGCAAAATATACGGCTGCTGTGTGAAGAAGTTTTCGATGCATCAAATGCCAAAGACTCTTATCTCACCAAATCGCCATACCAACGCATGCGTACAAGTCATACCCTTCCTAACATACAACTCAACCACGGGTAGGATTTGAATAACCGAGATAATGTGCAGATACAAGAGATTTACCTTGAACGACATACCAGAACAGTCAATGTACCGACCATTCCGATAAACAAAGTACATAGGCACGCCTAGTGCATATTCAACATACTTATCAAACCTGCACGGCAAAAAAAAAATTTAAGACATAGTGCATGTCATTTCCGCAATACAAAATGTACTTACGAAACGAAGATTTTAAAGCAGGATTCGAAGTTATTACGCTGTCTTGTTTAAGTAATGTGGAAATCAGATAACCAGACAGAATCAAAAAAAGAAAGAAACATCGGCCGGATCTAATCTCCATACCCAAAGCCATCTTCAAACACAAATGGTAAATCTCCGGCCCGATTGTTGTCCACGTCTGTCCAGATGTGACTGCAAGAGAGCAATCCAAACCCAGTTGCCACTTGAGATATTTAAAACAGCAAACTTGCCACTTCGGCTTACTTCGGTCGGTTGTTAACAAAACATTGTCACGACATACTAGACCGTCATCCACTCATGCAACGAACGAAAAGAGCAGTGATTAGCAAGACGTAATGGACAGCTTCTCACCTTCGGTAGCTTAAAAAGCCGTTTGGTTTTCCTTCCTTGAAAGGGGAATTTGCGAAAAGGGCTGTAGCGATCTGCAAAATATTATCACAAAGGAGTCATCCACAGGCAAAAGAAAGTTCGAGATTATCTCTATTACAAAAAGAACAGTTGATGAGCGAAGTAAAGTGTAATGGTCAGAAGACTTCATGTGAGCAACAGATGAGAATCATTCATACTTACAGGCTGTAAAGCAAGCCCCACACGAAACTTTCTAACCATATCCGCCTCAGAATCGAAATCCAAATTGACCTGCACATGATTTTAAGCAGCAGTTACGGAGTGAGAAACCATCCACATCGGGGAGGCAAAGAAATATATCGAGCATATTCGGCAAATCCCGTGGTCAGGTTGATCAAAATAAAAAGCTGAAGTGATCAGGATCTGTCTATGGCGAGAGGTGTTATATGCGCACCTGAACCGTGCATGTGCGGAACATCATGTCCAGGCCGAACGATCCAACTTTCGGCATGTAATTCCTCATTATCTCATACCTGCCCTGTTTCCAACAATTGCAGAATGTTCACTAACGATCCGAAAGGCACCCAGGATATTATCCCTCCAGCCTTTCTGGCACAAACCACCAACCATTGAAATATAGACTCTGCATCAGTCAGGAGGGAAGTGGAAATTTCCAGGTTACGACAACAGCAGCATATGAGATTCTTCGTGTGAAGCTCAGTAATCTTGACAAGACGAGTCTATCCTTTCCACAAGGTAGCTGGACAAAGTGATGTAGAGGGTATCTACCTTTGGCATAATGGGAGTATCTGCCACGCTCCACTTGGGTTGGAATCCAATGCCTACGAAACCGAGGCCGAGCTCCTCTGCGACAGCCTTCACCTGCGAGAATGCTAATGGCTGTTCCAAGTCTCCATATACAATGTCCGAAACTTGACACTCTTTCTGGACCTCAATTGCATTATGCTATCCAAGCTACATTGGCATGGAATTGATTAGCAGAGCCCATGTCGCTAATAGAATTGCAAGCTTTGATCACAAGACGCTGCTGTACCTGATATAGATGCGAATTGACCTCTGCACATGTTTGGTGAAGGGTCTCCAGAGGAGCACCGCTTAATTCGACCTGACCTCCAGGTTCCAACGAGACACCTTGACCATCCTGAACATCTCAGCAAAGAAAATTTTAAATGATCAAATTCGCAGGCAGCCCTAGTCTCTGACATTGCTACCATTCCTAACTCCAACTGTTCGCTGTTTCTCTCCGCAGGAAACTCAACACGTGAAATCTTCAAAACGCATCCGCTATCCAGGGCAGCCAGGAATCATTTTGAATCCTAAGAAAAGAGAAGTCATGACTGTCGTGATCGATTGCGAGATCTCCTGAACAGACTCTTATTAACCGCGGATTAAATTGCAAGAGAAGTTGTAGAACTCACAAGAGTCAGTCCAATTATGTTGTCCCCTTCCATCACTCTTTGCCACTCAAAACGATCCGCCAGCCCCTCCAGAAGCTGCTTAATTTGAGGATACGTCATAGGCTGTAGATTGTCTAGCTGGAACCCAAATTTCTCGTGCTCCGTTCCAATCCTGCACAGTTCCAATCCCTACCGTCAAATTCCACATCAAGCCAACCGCTAGCACTTCGCTAGATCAGCGCATACACTACAAGTGCAACGCGCGAACACCACCCAAACTCAAATTTTCCAATTCGCTCTTCCACACCTTGCCTTCGTCAGGAACGCAACACCACAATGTACGACCAAACCCAAACCTACAAGCCCATACCTCCATTTCTCTTTAGGTTTGCACCCAGACGCCAAATACCCAACCAAGTCCTGCCTGGTGAGCGGCTCCCCACCGTAGCTCCCAGCATCGTTACTCGGCGGACTCGCGGCCACAACACACGACAACGCCCGCCCATTCTCAACCTCGAACTGCCCACCCGCAGCACTCCACCGCAATCCTCCTCCTCCCACACCCGCACAGCTTCCCGAATTCAACCCAAATTTCTGACAACCTCCGAATCTTCCCCGAGGGCCGGCATCCACAATCTCGACCGCGCAGCGAGCTGCTGCGAACTTCGTTGAAACGAACGCAGCATGGGTGATGGCAGCCATTCTACTCTCACCCAACAACCTCAAAAATGAAAATAATAAACGACCACCACGTCTCTCCCTCCCTCAAACTGCAGCGACGACCCTAAATACCAGGACTAGCTTGATTCACCTGCATGGGTGCTGTATATTCTCCCGAGCTGGACGCAGACCCAGACGCAGCAACACCGCAACACACCTTGTAAAGTCCAATACCGACGACACCGGTAACACTGCGAGCGCAGCGAGATTGAATAATAAATACCGTTGGCAGTTGGGGTGGAAGGAAGACAAACAGAGATTAGATGATGTGAGCAGTGAAGCCCCGGGAGGGAGCGAGGGATCCCCAACCAAGTCAGTCCCCCTTCGATTCTACTTCGCTTGGTCTTCTTCTTCTTCGCTGCCTTCCTTCCTTCCATCGCTATATCACGCACCCATTGCCGCACAGTTTGCGATGATCGGTCACGGGGTTTCCGGTGGGGCCGAGCGTCACGTCTCCGTTACGGGACGGTGGCTTCCCCCTACCCACCTCATGCCCGTCTGATGCCCCACCACCGTGATGGACCCCGGTGGCCGGTTCCTGCCTGTGTCACCATGCTGATAAGCCCCCCAGGACCCGGGACCCGGGCCTCGTCACATCATGGCCGGTCCCATATTCCCTCGGGCTTGGGACCCAGGTGAGTTGGTGCCGTCCTCGTTCTCTGTACCTGGTCACCTTCCAATCACCTCCCCCTTCCCTATGCCCGTGATCCTCATCAATTGGGTATTAGTAGTATTATTATTATTCATCCATCACTGTGCCTCACAATTAGTGTGTGACTGTGTGTGTGTGTGTGTTTTATATATTTTTTTGGGTTGTTAACAATCATTTGTTAAAATGTAGATTAAGGACCTTTTTAAGTGATTTAGAATGGGTTTTGGTTTATTGGATGAAAAGTGCTGGATGTAAATGAGGTTGTGTTGTTGAGTAATGTGTGGTTAGGACTGATTCTGTGGTGAGCAGAACTCAAAGTTAGTTTATCTTTAAAACCGATATGTGTGTGTGTGTGTGTTTTTAAAAAGCTCCAGTATTTATTGTGTTTAATTTTAATTTTTTAATAAATACTTTGCCAAAATTAGATTTTTTCTTCCTGGTTTGGGAATTTAAAACTTGTTGCACATATTTAGGAAATATATATATATATATATATAGCTGAATCCATGTCATTGTCACAGAAAGTGTGACTCTGTTTTTTTAATTTCTAGACGACTCGGTTTCCATTACAGATAAATATGCTATTCAATATTCTTAGTATATTTTTAGAAAGAAAGAGAACTCAAATAATGTACTTTTAAATTAAACAAAAATGTAAGGAATGCAAGTATTGTATATGCATGTATATGATATTATTACTTTGGAAACAATAAAAAAAAATGTTTTGATGTTGTTTGTCTTGTTTTAAATATAATTTAATTGATTTTATGGATCTTTTAATAAGTATTCATATTTCAATCAATTTTTTCAAAATCCCTACATCATTGTTATCCATTTCTAAGCTAAAGGTTATGACTTCAACATATCAAATACATTGTTTTTTTTTTTTTTTTCATTTTGTAAGGCTAATTTATCTTATAGTTCTAAAAAGTAAAAATTTAATTCTTTAGTGAATAGATAAAAGTAGATGATATTAATGATACTATTACATAAATACAAAACATCTATAATTTTTATCTATAAAATCATTAATTTTTTACACCAAATGGCTAGAAGACTCTTGTAAGAATTCATCCGATTCTCCACTTTGCAACTTGATCCGAGTTATGAAGGAAGTTCAGTCTTAAACCCTTATCAATCTCATGAGGAAAGAATTAATTCAAAAGATGTATGCAGTTAAGATCAAAGATTGTAAGCCATTGTATAAAGTATTATCAAAAGTATCTTTTATGGTGGCCCTGAAGTCTTGATAACATAATCCATGGTAATCAGCAACACCCACCACATTCCACCTAAGTATGCTAAGAAAAAAAGAGGCATTGAATACTGAGTTTGGTTACTAAACCTGTAGCCAAGAAAAGCTTGAAAAAAGCGACTAAAAAATATTATTTATTACACACAAATATACTTAGTATATTAATCCTTTGTAATCCACCCAGATTGTGAACTCCAAGCAATGCATGAGCTATAATGTCCATTAGTCTGCTGGTAAATTAAGTGGTTTGATAGTTAAAATCTTTGTGATGGTTACTTTTAAATTTTATTCAAAATAACCAAAACCCTAGGTTGAATTAGGAATTGAACTTGTTGAAGTTTCTAATAAAAAATAAGACGTATAATTGTAGATCGTCTTAGAACAAAGTATATTTAATCTGTGTGTCATCCCGTATAAACATGATACAATTTTATAAGTCTAATAACAACCAAGCAAAATTCATTGCCAAGGTTTGTATTTGAAACAATGTTTTTCCTGCAATACTATGTATTTTGCAACATTAAATTATAGCTTTGGCGGAATGTTCCTACTTAGTTATAATTTACTAAAATACTATGCTGAATATGAATTATTTCTTACCTATTTCTGCTTCTACTATATCACAAATGTTTTCCTTTTAATACAAATACATAAATTACTAAAATCGTTTTAAATGCTCATTGGTTAAAAACAACAAATGTGTGATTATTTTCCTCATGGACATTAAATTTCTAATCTGGCATGTATCACTTTGAATAAAACTTTATATTATCTATTTGTAGTAAATTGTGATCTACACTTTTATACATTTTACATTCAAATTTTTATCTTCATAAAGGTTGTGAGATATTTTTGTTAGTAAGTGCTTCAGACACCAAATTTTGCATCAGTTCTATAGCCCAAATAAACAAAGACAACAAGAGTGCATGTTTATTTTTTGTGAAATAAAAGTAAAAATAAAATCAAACGACAAGATTGCCGACTTGCCCTTTGAATAATTGTGTTCATTGTCATCCAACTTATTTTATTTTATTTATTTGCGGGCACAGATTTCAATATTTTGTCAAGTAACCTACCCAATTTGCGATGTCAAATCTACTATAATGAAGGTTGAATTCAATGTGCCATTAATTCACAAAAACAATTTAAGATCTGTAGCACAGGTTTGGTTGATGCACGCACCTTTAAATGTACCTTGTGAAGCACATAGCAAATATCAACAACAGCTACAACACCCTTGAGAAGTGTATTACAATTCCAATTCCAAGTGATGCGTATAAACTACTACCCACAATTGTATTATTATAATTAGGATACATATTTTGCAACCTTTGATGAATCAACCACAAACATAAATTGTTGAAGTGTGGCAACAAACTAAGAATTTGGTGTCATTTATTTATTTATTTATTTGTTTCCCTTTAGTCTGTGTTGCTTCTATAATCACAATTAGCTCTTGATATTTAGTATCATGGGTAATAATTGTGAAGTTTAAATGTATGTATATGGACATGTATGTATACATATTAGAGAGATGTTAATTTCATATCAATGAAAATTAGTACTTGTGAAGAGATGAAAGAATAAAGGTATTGACACAATAAATGTGCTATTGAGCCTATTTAAAATAGAAAAAATAGTGATTTGTTGATGCATCTATTCAAATGTGTGAAGTGGATCTAGTTTGGAAGTATATTCTTGTTCACTTCCCCTACTTCTTTTTGGATTGGGCTCCAAAGTTAAATTGCATTGTTAATAATACTAAATTATATATATATATATATATATATATATGTGTGTGTGTGTTTTTTATTTTCAAAATCAATCTATACAAAGTCAATAGTTGCAAAGTTATGATAGAAAATTATTACAATTATTTGTTTTACAACATGTTAGTGAGTGTGTATATAGTCCAACAAAACGACAAATATGGATCAATCTTTGATACAATATCTGTGAAAAATAGTTATGAAAAATATGCAAACACATATCAAATAATTTTAAAGACAGAAAAATTAAATGACTATACTCGAATCATAAAAAATTTGCAAACAAAAAATTGCATTTTCAATACATAACAGTGCATTGTTTTATTTTAGTTATTTTTTAACATCTTCTCCAGAATTTCCATTCTATTTTATTTCAGAAGTTAAAAACATTAAATTGATAATACAATTTATATGCATTGGATACTATTGAAAGATTTTATCTTGAAGCTTGTATATAATAATATGATTTTTTAATAAATAATCAAATTTATTATATAAATTTGTCTTAGAATTTATGGACTATGTAAGATTAACCCTACATTCAGTTGTTTAACCTATAATTTAAAATGTTATAAACTTAAGTGTATACAGATTAAACAATAATTTTGTCAAATTATCACTGCTAGTCAAGAAAATTCAGAATCATTCAATGACTTATTTAAACAAGTAATACAGTTGAATAAACCTTTTTATGGTTTTGGAGGTCATAAATTATTTATGACTGATTAGTTTTGTGCTAAAATAACTATTTTAAGTATTTTTTCCTATCAAATAAAATATTTTAAATCAAATAGTATTATTGAAAACATTTTTTTTATAAATTATTTAATTAATTGATTTGATTTGCAAAATAAAACCATTGAGATTGTCAAAGCAATAAATTTTCAAATCATTGTTGAAAATTTCATGGGTCATTTTATATATATATATATATATATATTTGAATGATAATTGATTTTATTTTAATTTTTTTATATTGATGTATGACTTGTGAAAATATATTTTTAAAAGTAGTGACCAATTTGGAATGTTATTCACAAGTAGTAGATATAGCTGCAAATCCAATTTATGATTATATCAAGTAAGTTTGGTAAAGATGTATAGTGTGTGATATATATACCAAACCTTCTTTCAACATAATTTTATTATATTTTTTTAGCTATAATAAATACAAGTTTAAGAACATGTATAGGAACACAATCTTAAAATATGTTACTGTCTGAAGAATTTTAGTAGTAAAAATCTAATTTTAGAATTTTTATTAACTTAGTGCTTACATAAAAGTAAATTATTAGTTAGAAAAACGAGTTTTATAATTACAATTGGAACTATGCAGTTGGATTTTTAGACAGTATCATTTTAGACATATTGTTATCTAAATCATTTCTTTAATTTGTAATATGAATTTTTTCAATACTTAAATATTATATAATTTTTACATTTGTCTATTTCAATGCTAAAATATTTTATTTTTAAAAAAATGATAACTTTGATAAGCATTATAAAACATCTTAGGAGCAAAAGACCAAACTAAGACATATAGAAATTACAGATGGTCGGTTTTTATATTTTTGATGTGTTATTAACTGGAACAATATATTTATGTATATGTACATGGTTATTATATTATACTATAATTTAATTTAATATTAGTATATATATATTTTTTCAT